CATATTAAGGCTGTCTCATTGTAATCAGTGACTTACATTGATGGCATTATAATCAGGGAGTACTGTTTATATAATGCAGTATTCTTATAAGGCAGTTTACTCAGTGGCTATCACTGATAGCATTATAATGAGGGATTACTGCATGTATAATGCATTTTGTGTTAAGGCAGTCTCACAATAAAGCACTATACTGAGTGGCTTCCATTCATAGCATTATAATCAGGGAGTACTGTTTATATAATGCAGTGTTCTTTTAAGGCAGTTTACTCAGTGGCTATCACGGATAGCATTATAATGAGGGATTACAGCATGTATAATGCTTTTTGTGTTAAGGCAGTCCCACGATAAAGCACTATACTGAGTGGCTTCCATTCATAGCATTATAATGCATTAATACTTTTTGTATAATGTCATAAATAAATTCTTACAATAAGACAATAAGCACTATACTCTGGTTCCTTGGAATAACATTATAATGGGGGAGTACTGTATGTATAATGTATTTCATTAAGGCAATGTTACTGTTCGGCACTATACTCACTGGTTCCCATGGGTAACATAATGAGGAGTAATGTATTGTCTTTTGATACAAACTGTTTTCAGTTTATTAATAAAATCCTGTTATTTTGAATGTTGTAGGCTAATATTTTCATAGTTCAATCTGAAAAGTACAATGATTAATTTAGTTGAAATATGTCAATTTTAATAACCAGGGCTTAACAATGCCATTCATCAACTAATCTTGTTGAAAAAGCCCTTTTCCATAGAAAAAGCAGAAACTCAGTCTCTTGCCTTGCATGATAAGAAATAATTTGAAAATTTGACCAAACTTGATAATTATTGTTTGCACCAGAGTGTATATTCATGCCTTAGTTTTTGTTATAGTCTGTATGCTAAACTCATGCTCTAAAATGATTTTCACATTGCAGGGGTCTTATGTAAGTGAGAGTCATTATTGGAATTTGATTAAATTGATTGAATGCCTTTTGACCCAGACTATTTTTCATTTGTTCTTGCTGCCATTGTTTTTCTTTTCTTTAGGGAGAGTGCAATTGAGTGTTTGTAAAATGTAGAACCATTCTTGTAACTTGTATGGGAAGGAAACATAAAACCATTCTTATTGCAGACTTGTATAGGAAAGAAATGTAGAACCATTCTTATTGTAGACTTGTATCTGAAGGAAATGTAGAACCATTCTTATTGTAGACTTGTATCAGAAGGAAATTAGAACCATTCTTATTGTAGACTTGTATCAGAAGGAAATGTAGAACCATTCTTATTGTAGTATGGGAAGGAAATGTAGATACATTCTTAATGCAGACTTTCGTGAGAAAATGTAGAGCCATTCTTATTGCAGACTTATATAATAGTTCAAGACAAGTACAGTAAAACAATCAGTTATCCTGACGCATATGGAGACATGAGTTTATTCTGGGTAATTCATTGTTCATGTAACTGATACAGAATAAATTGTATATCTTGGGGACACTTCCATGATCAGTATAATCAACAAGTAGTGATGGCATCTGGGAAGTCAGTTTATTTCCTGGTGTTGTTGTCATAGGGTTTAACGCCATTTTTCAGCAAGATAGGCTATACATGGCAGCCAGTATAAAAATGTTGGAGGAAGAACCAGGGAAAACCCCAGAAATTACCACCAACCCACTATTTCCTGTAATCGGAATATATGCATGTGCATAAAAGTTACATGCACATATCACATTCTTGTGGACAAGCACAGACACACAAACACATATGCTCAGAGATTTCAGAAAGTTGATGGAGGGAAGGCATCTGAAGAGGTGTTAATGAAGATGTCAGAATTTTAATAAACAACTACATTTTCCCAAAGCCAGTAATACTAAACATTACTACTTTGCCAGAACCAATAATAAGTGACAAAAAGTATTGTGTGTGTTATGTAAGGAAAGGCTCATTGGGATATTCTCTTGTCATTTAATAGCTGTATCACTGGCTCATTGGGGTATTCTCTTCTTGTCATTTAACACTGACCAAAAATAGTGTGGACTGCTCAGGTCTGCCATTTTAATGTCCTGACAGAGCAGGGTTTACACCATTTACATGAAATCGTAGAAAGACCATTGTCGTGTTCTGTGCTGTTCCCTACTGGGTCATGTTATTCATGGATGAACATGATCTCCATCTTCATTACATAGTTGTATACAATGCAACTAATTGGTTTCGGATACTCGGATATGGACATTTGTACTCACTTAAAAGTCCAACTGCAAAACAACCATGACCCTGATTGGCAGTCACATAATGTGATGACGGATGAGGGGACATACTTTTTGTTTTACTGATTACTAAAAATAAACTAGATGGACCCAGGTCTGCCAACACAATAATGATAGGTCAGGGTCTGCAGTTTACATTTACTTTCGGACTAACAGGTGAGTATATATTGTACCTACTTGGATCTTCTAATTCTGTCTCAACACAGTCCAGTAAATACAGGATATTAGTACAGTGACTTGATAGGACAGTGGACATTGGAATGCCCTTTCCATTCATCCTTCAGAAATGTATCCTCTCATTATGAGTTGTGTAATGATGGCTATATAATAAACAAGAACTACATTATGATAGGAATGACACCCACCCACCCAATTTCTTAAACTCTATAAAGATTAGTTGGTAAGATTGGGTGAAGTGTATTTTTCAAATAATTATGCATACCATATATACACGCTTATCAGTCAAGTCCAATTGCAAACTGCAGATATCCAGATCTGCCATTGCATAATGTGCTAGCAGGTCTGGAACTGTGCAGTTTGTTACAAATAAAAAGTAGAATAAACAACAAAGATTGCTACTGCATATCAGGGTATTTGTTATTTGCAGTTTGACTCCACTTATAAATGAGTATATATGGTAGTTTTTAAATTTATACACCTGCAAAAGTCAAAACGTTTTTGTGATTTGAATACTAGATTGTGGTCTATGGATTACAGAACATCTCCAAGTTTCAAACCATCTGCATCTAAGCATTGTAACAAAGGAATCACAAAAGACTTCCAAATTTCAAATGATTTGCATTGAAGCAATGTGACCCACAGATCATCTCCAAATTTGAAACCATGAACATCCATGCATTGTGGCCCAGTAATTGCAGAACATCTCCAAGTTTTAAACCATTTGCATCTACATGTTTTGGTCTAGAGAATGCAGAACATTTTTATATTTTCAAACTATCTGCATCTGCACTTTGTGGTCTAGGGATCACAGAACATTTCCAAGTTTCAAACCATCTGCATCTACACTTTGTGGTCTAGGGATCACAGAACATTTCCAAGTTTCAAACCATCTGCATCTACACTTTGTGGCCTAGGGATGGATTATATAACATCTCCAGGTTTTCAAATGATTTACATTTACACATGTTGGCCTAGGGATTATATAACATTTCCATGTTTTCAAATGATTTACACGTTTTGGCCTAGGGATCGAAGAACATCTCCAGGTTTCAAACCATCTGTATCAGATTCTACACATTGTGAACTAAGGATTGCAGAACATCAACATGAAGTCAATTTGGTGACATAACCTGTTTTGAGAGACCAGCTGTGTGTGTGTGTGTGTATATATATATATATATATATATATATATATATATATATATATTTGTTACAGAAGTGATGGGCTCTCAAAACAGGTTTCATTGTCACTGTATTACTTTGGAAATAACATATATATATATATATATATATATATATATATATATATATATATATATATATATATATACATACATACATACATACATACATACAAGCATGCACATAAGTTGTACATCTCTTGTAGTCTTTATAATAAATGACTGTCTTACCCAGTTATGTACCAGAAACATTAATAAAGTCTATTTCATTCAGAGACAGTTTAATGGCAGAGACCTATTTTTCATGAATTCACAAATCATTTGTATTAACAATTTTATTTACATAGAAGAAACTAGATTCATTTGTTTTATTTGTGAACACATGTAATTAGATTAAGGAAATATGATTTGTATGTATTTATATCTTTGTGTATGTGGATGTTTAATGTAAATATTAATATGTTGAATCCATCTGCATCAACCCAGATCTGCTGTCACATAATGTGCTGACAGGTTAGGGTCTGCATTGTTGTTACTCCTAACAAACGGTGTTGACCCAGATCAGGAGATGCATGACGAAACGGCAGACATTGGTCTGTGCAATTTGCAGTTGTTCTAGACTTGTAAGAAAGTATAAATGATACCTGTTACTCTGTGTACTTGTATGCTAGCAACAGTTAGTACATCAGATTTAAGATGAATATATGAACAAATATACGTATTTATTACTAATATCAATGACTTTTAACTTACTTTGGTTTATTGTTGGACTTTTTTTTACAGCCATCCTAATCTGTCTTTGTTTCTGTTTTTTCATGTGTCTTGCATGTCACCAATCAAGCTTCCCCTCAACTAGCCAAAATTAACTTAAATCAAATTTTCTAAAAGCAGATTTTGTATGAAGTGAAATATTGTGAAGCTTCACATCAGGTCCAATTTAATTAATGATTGTTTATATTTTTTAATTCAACAAAGTATGAACTGAAAAAATGTTTTGCAAACTTTGATCCACTTTGCAATTTCTAGGTTCATGCTTCATTGAATTAAAAAAAATAAATATTCCAATCCCTATAATTAAAATCATCTGCATAAATAGTGAAATAAACTTACAGCTTAATAACATCCTTTTATTGAATAGTTTGAATCAGTAGGACACAATAATACAGAATAGTGCGTGTGTGTGTGTGTGAAAGAGAGAGACTTGTAAGCTGATGCCAATACACAACTCTGATAACTGAAAATGTTCATTCTTAACTTTTGTTTTATGTAAGTCTAATGTGTTTCATAATAAATAGTCAATCCTTAAATGACAGTGAATGCATAAACTCTGTAATAGACTATACTGGCTTTTATACATTATGTAATACCATACCTGTTAAGTGGTTGCAAAGCTTAGTTGGTCAAAGCATCATTCAAATCATGTGAATGTCATGGGTTCGATCCCCAGTGTGACAAAATTATTTTGTTTTCTTGTTTCCTATCTTTTTACTTTACTTTTATTCTACAAAACAGATTTCAGATTTCCTTATTGTAATGGTACAAATTTCATAATACATTATTTCATACACTAATGAACTTTACATGATAATGTCTTTAACATCAAAATATATAAGCAGATGTTTGTTTATTTGAAGTGTACTACTTGTAGCATTAGCAGAGATATCTCATTTGTTTGAAAAAAGGTTTTGGTTCATAATTAAATTCTTACATAAGTTTTCGCCAAAACAATTCAAAAGGGCCTGGCCAATCAGATTGCTGTAATAAGTAATGATAAAGCAAGATTTATTAACTTCCACTTTTATCTGGCAAGAGTGACAAAATTTGAGTTATGTTCCCTTTTTTTAGTTGCCAGTATGCCCTTGCACCATTAACCATCATTTCAAAGACCCAGTGTGTTTAACTGAAGACAGTAAGCTCAGTATATAGATATAGGTCAGGCTTAATTATTCCTTATATCTTTGGGAATTAATGCAAAGCTCTCCATTGACCCTTATATTCATTTTGTTCTTCTGCATTTTTATACTCCTGGATGAAAATACACTAAACTTAGAAGAAGTGTATTTCATATGTAACAGATGTATCATTTTCGGCTCCCATTCCTGGGTGTAACTAATTAGTTCAAGCATCAAATGTACCCCAAAAACATGTGACATTTACAGCATGCTTCAATACTGTGGCAAAGAGAAGAGCAATGGTATGGTAATAAATCTTGCAGTTTTTCTATTTATAGATCCTGTGCAATCTACAGGCATTCTAAATATCTTAGAATAAATACTCTTGTACAAAATTAACTATATAATAGCTTATTTATAGATAATCATTGCAATTTACAGTCATTACTGCTCGGTGGCCTAGTGGTTAGAGCATCTGCCTTAAATGCGGGAGGTTGTGGGTTCAAAAGCCAGCCAAGTATTACCCAAGGCTTATAAAAATGGTACTAACACTGCCTTGCTATATGCTCAGCATTAAGAGGCTACTGTTAGGACTGGTTGGCTTGGTGTCAGGATATTGTGACTGGGTGGGACATGATGTATCATGTCTGTAGCATGATGCTCCAGTGCTAGACATCGCTATAAACTGCCACACTGCAGACATTGTAGCATTATGACTAAAAAAATTTTTAAAACTTTAAATATTCAAAACACACACACATACACAGTCAATAACAAAAATTACAAAATATACACAACAGCTTTATTTTAAATATTAATTAAGCATATGATAATAAAAGTACATAGAAAGATCTCTTGTGAAAGATACAAAAATATATACAAAAAAGTGATAGTGTTTCTCTGAATCCACTGTTGAATGAAGTTTCAGCTGCTTTAATTCATTTTTGATGTTCCTAAGGTTGATGTATTCTTGCAACTTCAAACTCAACCTCAACATGATTTTTTTTTCATTTTGTTGAAGAAAAAAAAGCGCTGTCTGTTACGGATCACTGCCATCTCACCTCTGCATGGGTTGGGAGTCTAAGATTCAGCGAATGTGGATATGTGAGAAAGCTTGCCAGTAGCTTCTCGTGGGTCGGTGGTTCTTTCCGGTGGTGATTTCCCAGTTTCTTCCTCCACCATTCATACTGGCCGCCATGAAAAACCTATCGTGTGCTGAAAAATGGCGTTAAGCCCAACAACAACATCATTTTGTTGATGAAAGTAAGTCGGTTGTGATCTCTAAATGCAACAATTGGAAGAACTTAATATACACTTCAGAGTGGTACAAAGCCAAAATTAAAGACAAACACTCCTCAGTGGTGGAGTAATTGCTTGAAATCTGGAGCTGAAAGAACCAGTGCACATTTAAGTATGGCCTCCTGACATTTGTCAGATCAATACAATTTTATTTTCTTAATAAATTGACCAGATGTTCTGCAATTAAGGAAAATTTTAGCAAAATTTCCAATAATATCCAGCCATACCCAAAAATTGCATCAGTTACTTTTACATATAGGTAATGGGAATTCAGAGATAGCCTTTTCCTTAACCTTCTACTGGTTTGACCATGTCTTAGAATGTCCTAAAAATGTAATACAATCTGGGCAAAACTTGCTTAATTGTTAAGCAATCAATTCTTGGATACTTTGCAAGTGATCTTTTTAGGTGTTGCTGTTGATAATGACGTCATCACTGTATGCATCACATCACAGCCATCTATACCAGAAGTTACCATGTTCATTACATGCTGGAATGTTGAGGGAGAATTTCATATCATATCAAGTGATGTTTCCAAACACTGTAGAGTCCATCTGGAGTTGCAAAAACTTAAATTTCTTTTCCTTTATCCAGGTTGGATTATAAGGTAACAAGTGTTCATATTCACACACAATCTGCTTTAATTTATTATTTTCTTTTTACGATAGATGTGAAAGAACCTGGTCCAGATCATCTCATATTTCTGCATATAGAAGACTGGTCACTACAATTCATTTGCACACTGTCATTTAAATCTTCACTCACCAGGACAGGTAAAACTAAATTGACAATGATTAACAGGGTTATCTCTATCAACATACTACTTTTACATATTTATATGGCTGAGTTATATCTGTTTCTGCCTCCCTGGTGTGTTGATGAATTTAAGTCGCTTTCTTTGTAACTATATAGGTACTATAATACCTGAAGAAAAAAAAAGGATTTTTTTAAAAAAAATTTTCTTGCTACATCACAGAACTTTCACAGCTTATATTTAAAATCTGAAATAAAATTAAGATTAATCTCTGAATGCACTGTTGAAAGAAGTTTCTCTTTAAACTAAAGTGCTTCACAAATAGTATGTCTAAAACCTAATTCAACAGAACCAAATCCTAATGATTCTTGAACTTATTCTTTGACAGCAAGTAACAGTAAATGTACACCCTATCCCAATCTTTTCTGGTATCAAAGCAATATGAGTCATATTTTTTAAAGTCAAAATCTTTCCAATGGCCTCTGATTTTCAGGGTGATATGCAGAGGACTTAAATAGCTGGATATATAATTCATACATAATTTGTTGGAAGATCCCAGTCTTAAAATTAGAACCTTGAATCAGATTGGACAGATTTGGAAAGGTAAAATAATTTTATAAAAGTAAACTTTTAACAAAGCTTTTACTATTGTTTTAGTCTTAATATTCTGAAAAGGAATTTCCTCTGGAAATCTTGTTGATGCACACAATATGGTCAACAAGTATAGATTGCCTGACTTGGTCTTAGATAAGGGACCATCACTGTATACCATTGTTCTGCTAATATGGTTCATCAGATGCAGAAATAGGTTGCAGATGAGTCTTAGATAACGTCTGAATGGGTTTTTCTTCCATTTGGCAAGTGTGACAAGATCTGCAGTGTTTGGAAACATCATCTTTAATTTTTTAACATGCTTTCCTGATCCACTTTATTCTCTAGTTCTTTTTGTCATAGCTCTAGTAACTGCATAAGCTGGGTATAAATCAGGAATTTCATTTTCAATATGATCCTCTAAGATTAAAACAAGGCTTATCGGTTAAAATTGGATTAACCACAACCTTATCTCTAGCTAAGTTATTGCCTAGCAATATATAAACACCTTTAATGGGCAAAGTACACACAGCTCTGGCTGTCACAGGTCCTGAAACTAAGTCCAATGAGTAGCACTAGCAAAGCCTCACTACTTCTTTAATAAGAACACTCTCACTAGATAAATACTTAAGACAAAGTACCTGATAATAAGAGACTGAGTAGCTCCCATGTTCTATAATATTTAAACAGGGACAGAATTGGCATAATCATCAACTTTTGATATAGAACCATTAAACAGACTGGAGTTTGTTTGACCCAACAAATACATGTTTCCAATACATGACCATAACCTCTTGGAATAGCTCATTCTTTATTCCATCACTGGCCTTTAACTTAGAGCAATCAGAAATACCATACCCTATTTTCTTGCAACATGTAGGAAGAGATAAGGATTTCTAATAAGTGTTATTAAGTTTGATTCCTATAAGTTGTGCAGATTGAGATTTATTATTACTTGTATGAGACTAAAATGGTTTCTTACTAAAAAATCTGCTGAGAGGAAGACTTGTTGACATAATGAAACTTTCAAGTTAAGGAGTAATCTTTAGCTGTATTAGCTGCATTTTCCAAAGTATCTACATGGTGTTTCATCTATGGACTATGGACACACTTCCTGAACTCTTCAACTAATCTGAGTTTTGCTAAGTTTGTCATAATCTTTAGCAATCTTTTTAGATGCACATCACCTGTCAAATAGCTTTATTTTACCAAGCTTGACCTGGGTTTGGGTAGTTTCCTTTATATAGTTCCTAAACCTCTGTTGATATGCCTCAGGTACCAACTCAAGATACATTCCTTGACCAAACTATAATCAGCATTTGCTTTTACTGACATTAAAGTATTATGATTATGTGATCTTAAAATAGGTAATAGAAATGTGTGAGAAGCAACAAGCTTTGTTAATTTCAACAAATGATTTATTCCCCCAAAACTACAAACTGAAAATGTAAAATAATAGATATTGCAAATTATTACCAAAAAATCCTAGAATTTCTAAGAAAAGTCCTAATGATTCAAGTTCAGAATAAACTTCAGTGATATTCCAAACAAATCTAAAGCTTTAAATGTTGATGTGCCTGTAATGGCCTGATTTATAATGATGTGCCAACATTCTTGTTGAAGCACAATAATAATATCTGAGAATATATTCTTATTTGAATTTCACTATAAATCTAAGTCTCTATGACCAAGAACATTATTTTAAATGGGCACTTTGTATTTCCAGTGAATAAAGAATTTGAATAAAATTCCAGCCCAAATGAAATTCTGGACACAGTAATAAGACTGATTTCTGCTTCAGATATTATTACAGGAGTAAATAATTTTCCTGTAAACATTTTTTTTTACTCTTCCTTATTGATGTCACAGTTAACATTTTCTATAACAAAACTATTAATGGAAAATTTCATTTTATAAGTTTTCAAATGTTAACAAAATCTTAAAAAAATTATAATAATCTGTGAGATGGGGATAAAAAAAAATGTGTACAAAACTGTCACTGACTTTGGAAAAGGTCAGATAAACAATTTTACATTTCCTAAAATATATAATAAAAATCTGAAATAGGAATTAAATCAACTGCTTAGTTCTCATATTCAAACATATGGACAAACGGATGAGATGGACATAGTTGGGACTTCCCAATGATATAATAGGAAAATGACATCATTCTCTCTTGCCTAGAATGGAACTGATTATGCTTATGGACAATGTTTTCCATGGAAATAGATGAAGTAGTAAGGAATAGGATATGATACAGTGTAGTAGTTTCATAAATGTCCATTGGCTTGTGTTCACGCTGGAAGGAATATCAAAACTGATGACAATCTCCTTGGTATGTACATTGCAGGACGAATGTAAAAATACACCTCTCTTTGATCGAGTTAGATGGCAAATTTGCTCAGACGGATGGAGAGGTGGACTGATCTTGCCATCTCCATCTTGAATGACATCGATCATCTTAGCCAGAAAAGGCCTGGAGTCAAAATCAAGGAAATCATGGATTCCGGACAATCTCCACAACCTGGTTCTCCATCAGCATGCAGATATCTTGCTAAAAAAGTGTATAATTACCAAATTCAATGGTACTTCTGTCAGGAATGGAAAGGGTTAGCAAAAGAACAGAAGCCCCTCTGAGAAAATTTGTGCCCACTCGGCAGAGATTAATCAAATGTTGTCTGCAGATGGTCTGGAACACAAGTCATTGGTAAGAGAGAGGACATGTGGGGATAGAGAAACTGATTGGAAGATTGCCTTTATATGTAGGATTGAGATTGCAGCTGTCTTTTGTGTTGTGCATATCTCCTTGTCTCTGGTAATCACATCATTGTGGGTGAATCAGAGATTATGTATAGGGCAATGGTTGCAGCACAGAGA